TCCTCCGGCTCCCTTCGTTGCCTTTGCCGGCGGTGATGGGCGCCTCCTTGGGCTTCGCCTGAGGGAGAGGAAGAGGCTCCTTCTCCTCCTTCGTCTTCCCGCTTTTTCCTTGAGGCGCCATGGCCACAAGAAAGGAACCAAAGGCAATGAAGAAGAAGGAGGAGGCTCAGGCTTTCTTATAGGATGAGGCGGCTCTTGGTGGCGGAGAAACGAAACTCTTCTCAGAAAGCCAGCAAGGCTCGGCTTGGCTCTTTGCCCGAAGTGGATTTCCCTTGAGGCAGGATCGTGAAGAGACCGAGAGAGAGATAGTCATCAGCTGGAAGGGCCCCCCAAAGGCCACCCAGTCCAGCCCCAGTCTGCCTGCCTGCCATGTAGGGAGGGAGACGCAGGATCAAAGCACCCCCTGAGGCAGATGGACACCAAGCCTCTGCTTAGAGACCTCCAAAGAATATGACATCCCCTCTAATATTTAAACAGCCCAGGGGCCATACTGCCATGCAGGAACTCCCAATCAAGGCACCCCTGAGGCAGAAAAACACCCAGCCTCTGCTTAAAGACCTCCAAAGAATATGACATCCCCTCTAATATTTAAACAGCCCGAGGGCCATACTGCCATGCAGGAACTCCCAATCAAGGCACCCCTGAGGCAGATGGACACCCAGCCTCTGCTTAAAGACCTCCAAAGAAGGAGACTCCACCACTCTCCAAACAGCTTTAGTTGCTTGGATTGGGAGTTCCTGCATGGCAGGGAGGTTGGATTGGATGGCCCTTGTGGTCTCTTCCATCTCTATGATTCTATGAGCTCTTCTTGTCAAGAGGTTCTTCCTAATGCTGAGGTGCAATCTCTTTTTCTGTAACTTGCATCCATTGTTCTGGATACTATTTTTTGGAGCAGCAGAAAACAATCTAGCTCCCTCCTCAATATGACATCCTTTCAAATATTTAAACAAGGCTGTCATATCACCACAAGGGCCATGCAGTCCAACCCCATTCTGTCATGTAGGAACTCACAATCAGAGCACCCCTGAGACAGATGGCCATCCAGCCTCTGCTTAAAGACCTCCGAAGAAGGAGACTCCACCATACTCTGAGGCATGTCAATTTAACCTTCTTAGGCCTGCTCCAAATGGAGGGCATTTTGACATTTCTCCTGGACAGAAGGTGGGAATAGAGGACATGCCCTGCAAAAGGCGGACCAAGGCTGGTCACCCTGCCATGGGGTGTCCTCTTTCGTCAATGTTGTTGTTAACTGCCCCAAAGGTAACCCTGACTCAGGTGACCCTGTGGATAAGGCGCTTCCAGGACCACCTGTGCTGAACAGCTCTGCTTAAGTCTTGTGGATTCATGCCTGTAATCTTCTGATTGAGCCTTTCATAGACTAATAGAATCATAGAGTTGGAAGAGACCTCTAGGGCCATCCAGTCCAAC